CCAACGCTTGCTGCTTTATTCATGTAATGTTCGTGGCAGCCATCGACTATATGCATGTGATTCGTCCTTGACAGAAAATGACATGTCCGTATAACTACATATCAAGTGGCCCTTTATAAACATCAACTGCTCTATGCATACAATGTTCGCAGCGGCCACGGACTCTATGAACGTGATTTGTAAATAGAAGCAACATGTTTGTACAACTACATGTGAAAGGGTCCTCTTTGAACACCATCCGCTCCATCTACGCAATGTTTGCCGCAGCTACGGGCTGTATATATGTGACTCGTCCTTGTCTAAAAAAAAATGTCATCTTTGTAATAATTACATGTTACATGGTCCTTTGTGAACATCATCTGCTCAGTCCACGCATGTGCGGTCCGTCTTTGTAGCCAAGGAAATCCATCTTGATATCAGCTGCATACCAACTGCATGCTAAAAGGGCCGCTTTATGAAACTGATACATCAAATGTGTGAGATGCAGTCGGCGCGTCTGGCTACTGAACGCAATGAACACATCGATGGGACAAGCAAACATGTGCAAGACGCCGACATCTCTGGCCTCAACAGGGGGAGCTGCTGAAACAAAGTGCCTTGGTTTAACGCATGGCACAGCTGAACAACGACTGCTCTTTGACTGTTTGGCTGTGTTGAATGCCGACTTGCAGCCCAATCTCTAAAATTAGTGACGGATATCCGGCACATGTTGATGTTGCATATGTTATTTCTGACAAAGTCCATGCTTGGCGTAAGCTCTGACGACTGCTCGCGAGGCAGATAGTTGAACAGAAGATGGACTGGGAGTTGTCAAAGGCACAGAAGATGAAGACAACTCTGGCGTACGTCACGCCGGGTCGTTTGGCTGGCTATATAAGGATGGCAATATCGCCCATGGTCTGGGAGGAATCTTCCTTCCTCATCGGCATCACAACTACACCTGGCTACACTTGCCTACCTCCCTCTACCTTTCAAAATACTTCATCTTTGACACTTGAGCATATCAGCATCTGCTTCTTAGCTTAAGAACACCTCTGGCCAGACAACAAACCGGCTCCCTATACCTTTCAACACACCAACGGGCATTTACCGGGCTTCAGCACGAATCCTAAATCACGACTAGAACAATGTGTGTTCTTCCGAAGTACCACGTGACATGCTGGATGAAAGATTGCAATAAGATTTGGTTAACGCTCTGCGCGACGACGGTAGAAAAATGCGAGGACCCTAATTGCATTGAGACAAAAGGAGTCGAAAGAAATGTGCGTTTTGACGATTGGCATCGGGTATTCTGCAAGGCCTGCTATGAAAGAAGAAATGACAAAGAAAATGGCTGCTACAACGACTACTATGGTATAACCGACGTGAAGGTAGTCAACACGATAAAACGCGGATTCCCTCTGGACGGCCGCCCTGAATTTGACGCTGACATAGTCAGTGGGATAATTTGCGGCGTGACAGAATACAGCGTCAGAACCAACGACACATACCTCCTGGGCCGGTGTACACCACCTGTATTTTACACAAGGGAGGGGGATCAGTTGATGAATTAGATCTAGTTCACAACCGCAGAGATCGACGGTGGCCTAGAGACCCCCGACAGATGGCAGCCGACACCGAGTCATTGTCACCTACCTGCCTTGAGACTGGCCAAGTCTTTTCACTTCTTCTCTTCATTTCTGCCAAATTTATCAAAGAATTACACCACGACGCGGGTAGAGTTTGCTAGACTTCTGCCCATCTACCTGGAACAGTCGACGCAACGTCTTTCTCTTATTTTGGGCGGTTTCACTCATGCCCGGACCGGAAAACGAAAGTGTGCAGCCGTGTGAGAACAAAGCATACGAAGCCGCTGCCTGCTGGCTCTCATGACCCCTTGCACTTTCGGGTCTCGACACCTCCAACATTTTTATTAAAAATCGGCTAGAGTACTCGTCGGCTGATTACTCTTTTTTCGTCTTCTCCTTTTCGTCTTCTTCTTCAAAAAAAAAAAAAAAAAAAAAAAAGAAAAAGAAAAAAAAGGCCATTTTCAAGGCGTATTCATTTCAACTTCTACCGGCTATTGCGAACATCACCAACGCAGCAATGTGCACAAACAAGTGTACTACAGGCGCTGCCGTACACCATACATGTGGGAAGGAATGGAGGAACCACTAGGTTGATTTACGCGACGAACACAGTGTATCTCGAGCATGAGCGTTCGGAGGAACATGATAAAGGAAGGGAACTTGTACCCAGTCAAAGGGGACATATAAACTTGCGGCAGCCATCGTGCGGGCACATGTCGAGGACAATATCACGGCGATGAACGAACGTATATCGCACTCACCACGATGGGCTACATTCTGGGCCACAATCAGCGAGGTTTGGGGAGGGGAGGAACATGAGGCGGCACAGTCATCTTTCGTCAAGGGCATGGACGACTAATACGGCCCTGGTGGTGGACGCTACGAAGCAAAGGACGATTGAACCGATTTGCCAAGTTTTTTTGTCATTTCTCTTTCTGTTTTGATCAGCTGGGTTTTTGGGAAACAACACATGTGCTGTACTGGGAGTTATTAGAACAAGGAACCGGTTTTGGATAATTACAATCTTTCCTTTCAAATTCCGTGACGCGTGGTCTGAGCTTTTTGCACTTGTAATACCATACCTATGTGATAATTTGTTACACGGAAAAGGCCCAACAGATCGTAAAGCCCAATAAAGGGGCTTCACCGACAAAGGACTTGTTAGTGACACAGATTAAACATTTGCCCGGGCAAGAGCCCTAGGCACGAGCCTTCCTTTCATGTATATATAGTGGTCTCTGTTCCCCTCCTTCCTCTAAGCAACTCAGGACCTTTGTTATCCTACGAGATTATTACTGAAGTGAGCCCTTTTGCTCCAAGCCCTCATGACCAGCCCTTGTCACATAGGTGTATAAATAAATGTGGCGCCTGCAAGATTAGAAACAGAAAATCAAGGTAGATGGTAATAAGCCGCAGGTGCCTACACGTAGAGTCATCAACATTTATTCTCAGACAAGGCAATTATGTAACGGTTCGCCGCCTGCTGGGACCAATACTCAGACTCTTGCAAAGACAGGCAGCCGCATGGTGCAGCAGACGCCACGCGAACGCCGTTGGATGAAACTATGTGCCGAGCCAAGTATATGGCCAAGTAATTTCAAGACATAAAATACTTGGCTTCACATGGCATCGATTGTAGGAAGGGGTTAGAATAGCCATGCCATTTTCACCCACGAGGTTTCGGTGTTGAGTCCCCGGAAACTTGACGGCTTGACCTCCCCCAGACCCCAGAAAACATGTAAGGAGTAAATTCAACCTTAAAACGGCCTTGTGAGGCCAAGGCTTCGTATGCGACCGAGTCCCGACATGTGGCTTTCTGAAGGCGTCTCCAGCCTTGTCGACGAATACGACGCTTTGACTTGACTCCTATTTATAACCCCGGCATCTTCTCCGCAGACAAGCGAGAATCGTTTCTGTAGTTTTCTCGTCTAAACCCCTCCATACAAACATGTGTAATTGTGTTGACAGCGTTGACTTTGCCGTCTTGTGGCGCGGAACGGGTGGACGGCTTGAATATACTTTTCGCGCCGGAGATCTCGTTTCACCTGTAGATCCAGGGCAGAGAGCATCATCCAACATGACAGTTTGGTCACCAAATAACTTCTAAGGGCAGGGAACGACTTGAGATGATGGCGAACGAGAACGCAAGAAGCACAGCAAATACAATATACAGAGATTCTTGCACATGCTTTCATCGACAAATCTAGAAAATAGGACTACGTGTCACTTATCTCACGCAATGCCCGCCGAGCTTTTTCGGTAGACACTTCTCATTGAGAATGTTTCGCCACAGATGAGACGTGAGGGCGTTTCACCAGCGTTCTCAGCCGGATGACAGCCAGCCTAGTTGGGTGGCGTTTCAGCCATCTGACGATCCAGAATTCAATTGCAATCATCTCGCGGGGTTGTATGTATGGGGAAATACAAATCTTGCGACGTGATTTATATTATGGCTGATGATGCACCGCGAGGCAGGACTTGGCGGAAGGGTTGGACAAGTTGTAGCGAGTACTTTTGGTTGCAGTGATTCCAATGTCCTCTTGAAGAGCCGCTCTATTGCGCGACGTCCATGAAGCGACAGGTAAATTCACATCGGGGATATGCCTGTAGCTGGATTGATGCAGACGGCTCCTCAATGTCTGAATCGTGCTCGAATGAGTTGCATGAGATTGAGTGTTGCCAGGCGTGATGTAGATGACTCAATGTCTGAATTAATTCTCGAACGAGGTGCATGATAAAGGGAAAAAAAGAGTCAAGTGAGCATGGAGTGACGTTGTGGTACCAGCCAAAAGTACCGGTACCCTGCACCCCACCGACCCGCCCCAGACCCGACATCTCGTCGAGTTCCCGATACGGCAAGAAGCTGTCTCACGGCACTAACAGGCCCCGGCGCCATTCACCAGCAAACCGTGGTAACGCGCCCGCCGACACTTGGACCCCATGAATAGTGGCGCACGGAAAACAACATGCTCAGCATGACTTGTAAAACCCCCCCGGCTCTCTCTTCTCCGCAGGCAATCCCTTCCCTTCCTCTCCTCAAACATTCTGCCTCCCGGCCGTCTCGCCATACCTGGATTTGCTGTTCTCGTCAGATACTCGTGCGGGCTTACTCGGGCACGGTTTCGTGTCTCGGAGGCATTTCACTACTTGTATCGAGAACCTGCTCAATCAACCTCGCAGGGCCACACTTCCCACATAATTCGACTCATCTCCCGTTTCGGCGCATCAGTCTCTTGTCCTCGTTTTTATCCTTTTCTTAATATATATAATTCTAACCCAGTCCTTGCCGGCAGCGCAACGCCAGTCCTCCAGATAGATCGCGCTCTAACAAACAATTACACCAACCCCCCCCCGTTTGTCATACGAGCCCTTGAATCACCATACACACGCATGCAAACTCTTTTACTTGGACAACCGTCAGGAAACGAAAACATGTCTCTATTCTCTCGCCACGAAGGCCACATGGATATGAGCGACAGCTCGAGCTCCGCATCCACGGACAGTCACGGCATGGACTCGCCGCACTCCATGATGATGGCCATGGTGTTCCAGACCAACACGGCGACTCCTCTGTACGCCGACTCGTGGACCCCCCAGAGCGCGGGCGCCTACGCGGGGACATGCATCTTCCTCGTTGTGCTCGCCGTCATCGGCCGCCTCCTCCTCGCCGCGAGGAGCATCCAGGAAGCCCGCTGGCTCGACAAGGACATGAAGCGCCGCTACGTCGCCGCCCACGGCAAGGCCTCGCTGTCGGACCGTGTCTCGAGCGACTCGCTCGCCAAGCCCATGACGCTGACGGCCAACGGCGTCGATGAGAGTGTCGTTGTCGTCGCCCGCCCCGGGTGTGAGACGAGGCCGTGGCGATTCAGTGTCGATCCTGTGCGCGCCGCCATGGACACTATCATTGTTGGAGTTGGTTATCTCCTGTATGTTGTTTTTTCCTTTTCTTTACAAATTTTCTTCATCTATTGAGGAATATTGAGAACTAACATCTGTCTGATATAGCATGTTGGCAGTCATGACCATGAACGTGGGCTACTTCATGTCCGTCCTCGCCGGCGTCTTTGTCGGCAGTCTTGCCGTCGGTCGCTATAGCGCCGCAGGAGAGCATTAACACCGGGTACAATACTCCTGGAGTGATGCAGTTTAGAAGAATTACAGCCCCGTTGCTTCTCACGATACGGGCTGGACGATGATGGTACTACTACACGGGCGAGACGGCGCATTGGGCTGGGCATATTTTACAAGCGGGCGTGGATACAAGCAGTCTTTGTTTTCTTACGTAGACCTACCTGGATGTAGGTGATGGAGCTTCAAATTATTTAATGAAAATCGTTTTCCACCCCGCTGGCAGGTCAAGTTGGCTCGTCAAAAGTCCCTCGTGAAGAACAAACAAGCGAAACGGCTTCATGAGAAAATGTCGCGGTGCCGCAAAAAAAAAGAAGTACCGATTGTACAGGTACCTTGTGGATGTGTCCAAGTGGGCAGAGGTTAAAAAACCTTCTCAAATGTGCTCAAGCACCAGGCCGCATGCGGAACTGGAGCGACTTTACTCCGTGGCGGGGGCACTTGCAATGATGACTAAGTGAGGTGCTGTCGGAACGCAGAATGCACGTCGAAGCTGGACGACAGAAATACCTGGGTAGAGTCGGCAGAACTGACATTGGCTAGGTTTTCGATGGTCCTAAATCCGCTGGTCTAAACTAGTGTCTAGTTGGTGTTTATTGCAACTAGTTGATTACCTATAGTAACCTACTTGCGCAGGTCATCCTTCACCCACTCACTATCAACCACATCAGTTTCACCCGCAACTACCATAACCAACTTGGTCTTTTACCAATTAATTACGCCTCTTCTGCCGTTCGTCTGTGACCAATTGCTCGCTCCAAATATAACCGCATATACACCTCCATACTCACATAGCCGCCGCCTCAGCCATTACACGCACCCAAACCACCCCCCAGTAAATCGCCCTTTTACAAAAACCACCACAACTCAAACCCAATAGTGCCAAACCCACTCTCAAGAAACAGCACGCCCGCCTCCATCATAATCATCCACCTCAGGCTCAAAGACACGCGCCGCTTCTTCAAAACCCAGTCCCGGAAACCTGCCTAACCAAGCCCGCACCCCCCCAACATCGTCAACCCGTCCAACTCCAAAGATCCCCCGTCGGGTGGCCCGTCCCGCGCCATCCCCAATCACGACACGGCTCCCTCCCCAAAAAGGCAGTGCTCCCAATGCGGTCGTCGTGGCCCCCAAACTCCTCGCAGACACCCTCCCGCGCCACGCGTTCTGGCAAACAAGAAGAAAAAGAAAAAAGAAAAAAAAACTCGGCAGTGGGTACCCAGACCCGGCGACGTCTCTTCTTCTCATTTATACTACTTACATACTACCACCATTCATGTTGGATATCATCGCCACACATCACGGGGACACAGGCTTTCAACCCGTCCAAGTCGGGCATGGCGCGTCTCCTCCATCGGCCCCCTTCGCCAAGGTAAGCAAGGTCTGGTCTGGTGCCATGTGAAAGCGCGTCGGGAGATGGGCTACTCCTTCCGTATCAGCCCCCAGCGCCCCGAATCAAGCAAGATGCGGTTCAGCCTTACAGAGGCAAAAATTCACTTCCAGCTCGCTCTATGCCGCATCTGGACAGTTCATGTCAACATTGGTGTTCGATCGACGACAAAAAGCCAAAACGCCCACGCCCACGCCTAATTCATCGAGAGGCCGGGGTGGTCTCATATGCATGCAACACCACCGACTCGAAGAGGTAGCCCAACTAAAGAAAAAAAAAATTGCGTAGACGCACTTGCTCGAGTCTTTTCTCTATGGAGTAGACTTTACTACATAAGGGACTAAAGGAAGTATCGTACACTTTTTGGTCGGCAACCGACCACCATCGACCCTCTCCTCTCTCTTCAGCAAATCAACCACTGCCGCCACGTCGTCAGGTACTGAATTAGATAAAAAGAAAAGAAAAATGAAAAAGAAAAATGTCGGAGAATAAACAAGGCAAGGCCCATAAGCGATTGAACTACATAACCAGGCAAGACAAACAAGTCGAAACGAGGGCCCTGAGCGGTACTCAACCGCTCTGCAAGACGTTTCAGTATTTTTGACTTGTCCAGGTTGACCTAGAACTGTTTTCACCGCTCCGTCGTCAAAAGTTCGTACCCTCGTGCATTCATCTGCGCTTGAACCACAGACTCCGCCCTTGAACATGCAGTGACTAGTTCAGCAGCCACCAAGACAGCTTGTGTGATTCTCGCTTCACATCGTTCGGTGCGTAATCGCAATCATCCCATAACACACCCAACCAACCCACCTCATTGATCCTCGAGATAGAACAGTACCCCAGGTGATAGGTCAAAGACGAGGAATGGGATCCATTCATTTTTTGACGGTATCAACGCCAGCACTGCCAAGAATCATCATGGCAAAGGACATCTCAGGAAAGAACAATCCTTGCGACTTGAGAAATTCTTTTGGTTTTCTGATGACACAAAGAACGGTCCGACAAATTGTAAATCGAGGTTTTTTTGAGGGAAAAAAAAAGTGACGAAAAAACAGCATCCCAACACGTCATCAACGCCGAATCACCAAAGCCCCGCAAAATAATATGGCAACGTCCAGAAGATATGGCCAAGGTTTACCGCTGGTGTGCCACGCGCTGCACCCGAAGTTCGCCCGTGTTCTATCCAGCCGGCAACCTCACAATATTTTACTCCCGCTCATCATCCTAATCATGACTGGTGGTGGCTGCTAGGCGGCATGCCTCCCTGCGGAGGCATTCCTGAGCCGTAACCTTGGTTGCGCTGTTGTACATAGCTCTGATAAGCGAGAGCTTGTTGAGCATCCATGGGCATATTGGGCATGTAATTCCCTGGCATGTGAGGGTTCTGTGGCATGCCCGGTCTGCCGCCTTGAGGAGGCATATGCTGTGCGGCCGAATCCTCGGGCGACTCAACCTGGTCCCCACCGTCCACACCGTTCTCATTGCCAGGCGTAGGCTCGGGAGCGTTGAGACATGCCTGTGAAGGTTCAATGTTAGCGTATTGCGTTTCCTCCAAGTACAATAAAGAAGAATCAAAGAGACAGAGCAATGCCAAGTGCAAAAAGGTTGTAATCGCAGCATTTGTCAGCTGAAAGGAGGAAAGGGAAGCTATCCAGAGGGTCTAGCGCAATGTCGGAACACAAAAACGAATGGTCCACTCGACGGCGCAAAGCGCGAGATCAGAGGTGCATCCGTGCATGTTGCTGCCCGCTGCAGGCGAAAATATAGACCTACCTGAATCAAGTTTTTACCTTCCGCCTTGGTGACCAGCGGCTGTAATTTTGGGGTGGTAAAGGTATAGACGAGGCCCGTTTCAGAAACGACGAGGAGGAGAACTTGGGTGCCGGTCAAAACTGAGAGTTCGTACGCCTGCGTGCAAATAGTCAGCAAAATGCGAACAACCATCATTTTAGCGAAGCAGAGATTTGCATCTCGGCTCGGAGCAAGATGCGTGACGCGATGAATGATGATGAATCAACAGAATTGAGGTTCATATGAGATGGCAAATCCAAAAGTTGGCAATGCAGTGGTATTTTCAGATCCGAAGAGAGAAGGGGGGGGGCAGCCGAAGTTAGGTGAGGACGAACCTTTTTCATAATACCGGCCTTGCGCTTCGAAAAGGTAATGTGACGGCGACTCTTGTCGCTAATGAATTTAATTTCAATCTTGCGACGCTCGCGGCCGCCCTTCTCGTCGTCGTCATCGTCGTCGTCGCCGGCAGATTGACGCTGGCGCTTGATGCCACGGCTCTCTGCGGCGGCGCTGCCGTTGCCAACCGACTGCGACTCGTCAAGCTCGGTAGGCGAGGTCTGGTCGTGCTGGTCGGTAATGTCGGCCATTATTGCTGTTTTCTTTTTTTATTGCTCCTTTGGATCAAGCTCAAGGGTCCAACGCGGCAGCTGTCGATCTCTCGACACGTTAGTTCCGGGGATGATGAGGAAAGAGAAAGTCGGGTGGCGGGAGGAGCAGCAGTCAACGGCCAAGTAGATCCACGAGACGGTGACTAAGTCAATCGGACGATTCGCGCACAGCAGGACTTGGCTAGAGCGCGACGAGGCCCAAGATGAAGCAGCTTTGCAGCAAAAAGAGCTGTCCAAATTGACAATCAGCTCTTGTACAAGTCGACGTCTTGAAAGTTGACTGAAAAGGGAACAAAGTGGTGGAGATGCTGTTTTGAGCGTGGTGCCGATGGATCTATACTGGATCTGGCGGTGCGAGCGGAGGAGGGAGGGAGGCAGGTGCCTTGTGGTCGAGCGCGGTGCTCTTGAATACCCTGAGAGCCCTCGCGTGCTTTGTGTCGCAGAAGAAGCGACTTGCTTACAGCAGCCGGCCTGGGCGTGCAGCCTGGCGTCTGGCTGTCTGGTGGCCGGGGGAGGCAGGCCAGTAGACCCAGCGGGCCTGGCACCGGCGGACGGTGACTGGGACACTGTGGTGCTTGCCGCTGGACGCCGGCGAGGCAGTCTGGTACTTGAGAACAGGCACGAGAGACAGGACCGGGTTGGGGGCGTGGTCTGCTGGATTGAGTCTGGCGTCTTCGTGACGACTGAAGTGGATTGGGGGTGGATGCGCGTGGCGGAAGGAAGCGAGCACAGGCAACAGGCCGGAGAGGTTGTTTCGGTTGGCGTCCCCGTGTTGCTCGTCTTGGCCGTCTCGTGCAATGCCTTTATTGCGCCAGACAGCGTCTCTTGCATCGTTCCAGCAGCAACGGCTTGTCATCTGTCACTCCTAACTACAGAGATGGCCTTGACGCACGAAACCTGGCCGTCGACGGAGCGCTCGACGGGGCGATATGCGAGCTCGGGGGAGGCGATAACAAGGCACGGTACAGGGAAAGCACGAGGCACCCAGAAGGAAGGAACGGCCTGGGCTTGCATGTACGGATGGCGACCAGTCCGACTGAGTGTCTTTCTCAGCGATGGATGTAAGTGCATGTACATTGTACGGAGTACATTCAGTGCATGAGTAGGTATGTACATGATATTATTACATACGCACTATCTCGTACTGTATGGTGGATTCTTGAGATGGTGATGAGGGGGGGATGGGGGGATTGATGA